TTTCCCCCCCCCCCCCCCCCCCCCCAAAAGCTGTCTACACAATTACCATGATAGTGCATGCAGATTGGCTAAATGCATGTGCAAATAGCTAACTTGTAATTTGTAAGTGCAATTAACTGACTTTATGTGTGCAGTCACAGTAATTGCAGGTGCCTAACTCATGTATACTGCAGAGCTTTTCATCTTCAAAGTGCTTTAGAAAATCAAACATTAATAACATCAGTAACAGTAAAATAAAAAACATATATTTGAGAACATAAATTTAGATACTTTTTTGTAAGTTACATGAACGTAAGGCAAACAAAATACATATTCAATAAAAAAAAAAAGTGTATTGCATTTTTTCAGCTGTAGCTGTTTCAGTGCAATTCTGGCATTATAGGCTTAAAAACAGGTTTAAGCCTACTTCAATGAGCATGCATATTCTTTGGAATGAACCCTAAAAGAAAACTTGCTGTGGAGATGGAATGTTATATGGGAAGTCATCCAGGGACTGTCATTACTTATATAGCACTGGAAATGCATGTGGTATATCACTAACGTGAGAGGAAACAAAGTCCTTCCCAAGTAGTTCACAAATATGAGAACAGCAGTGTGTGTAAAACAGTACAGAGATGGTAGGTCACATTCAGCAGGTGTGGGATGACTTCACGAAACAAAAACGGGTTTTGTAGAAATTAAGTGAACTAAGCACAAAAGAAATGGGGCACTGGTCCAAGTGTAGTAGGTGGTATGAAAAAGCCACAAAGCTAAGTGTAGGAGACTAGTAAAATTACACTAACTGCACTCAAAGGTCTATTTTTGTTCTCAAGAACAGTGAAGAGCTTTTGTCATTCTTATCTTGCCATATAATGAGCGTACACAATACAATACAATCATGGTGGTTTTATGGTATCTTGTGTCTTTTAAAAGCTTTTGTTCTTTTCCACCTCTTTTCACCATCACTGTTAATTCCATAGTAGCTTTAGCAACCCAATGAGTTTCCTGTTTGCTGGAAGCTACATCTTGTTTTCTTCTTGAGGTGGCGGTAGGTGAAACTTGACTCTCTAATAGTGCTGGTGGTCTGTCAGCCCCTTATCTGAGTAGAACACAAACCAGCTGTTTATTCCAATTAGCAGCTGTCTGTTCTTAAATCACCAGATACAGTTTTTGTCCAAGCAGTAGCTGCCTTTGCAGCCTTCAGGTTGTCTGTCCTCTTTAATTAGCCCTTTCTTTTCATAGCCTGTTATTTACTCAGTGTCTGAAAAATGACTTGAAGTCAACATCGATCAGAACAAACCATCCATTTCAGCAGGCTGTTCAGAGGATGCAAATGATCCATGATGTCTTATAATAGTTAAAAATATTACTTTAAATAAGTCTGATATACAAGTGAATTTGAAAAGGGAAGATGCAGAGGAGTAGAAATAATATTCCTTAATATCATACAAGCATGGTTGAAGAAACTGTTGTGACTGAAATGGCTGCTTTATCAGGC